GAGAGAGAATTTTTTTTTAATATTTATTTTTTAGTTCTCGGCGGACACAACATCTTTGTTGGTATGTGGTGCTGAGGATCGAACCCGGGCCGCACGCATGCCAGGCGAGCGCGCTACCGCTGAGCCACATCTCCAGCCCCTACTTAATGGTTTTATATAACAAACATTTATTAAGTATCACTTCTGTCAGTCAGGAAACTGGAACAGTTTAGTTGAGTGTCTATGACTGACAATATACCATGAGATTACAGTCTAGACACTGGTTGGTGCTGTGGTTATCTAAGGCTTGCTCAGAGCCGGAGGATTTGATTCCAAGCTCCTTGGAGAAGCTGTTCCCACTTGTGGTCTCTTCTCACAATACAACTAATTTCCCCAGAGTGAGTGATTTAAGTGAGAAAGACACAGAAGTTATCTAATCTTGTAAGTGATATACCATCATTTCTGCCATTCGTGATTGGTCACACCTTGATACAGTGTGGGAGAGGACTACAAAAGGACCAGGGGCCTCTCCCAGGAACTACATCCCCAGTCCTTTTGCTTTTTAAGTTCTGAAACAGGGTCTTAAAGTTGTTTAGTTTTTTATTAACTTGCTGAGACTGTCCTCGAACTAACAATCATGTGCCTCAGCTTCCCAAGAGAGGGTATATATTAATTATCTGGGATTACAGGCATGCACTACCACACGGAGCTATTAATGGGTTTAAAGTGCCTTGCTCTGTCAGACTCCTGTGATACCTCTTTAGGAAACTTACAGTAAAAATAAATAAATAATAAAACCTATATGTATGAGGAGTTAACTCAGAATGTCTCTATAATTGAACTAAGATTCTTCAGGAGATTCTTATTATTGTGCAGTTGTTCAGGTTACCAGGTAAAAATAAGTCTCGTTGGGGTTTTAAACAGACTAATTTGGGGTAAGTCTTAGTTAATTTAATGTTCAAAAGTCTTAGAAGAGGGTTGGGGTTGTGGCTCAGTGGTAGAGCGCTTGCCTAGATGCATGAGGCACTGGATTTGATCCTCAGCACCAAATAAAAAAATAAATAAAATAAAGGTATTGTGCCCATATACAACCAAAAAACAAACATTAAAAAAAAAAGGTCTGGGGGCTGGAGATGTGGCTCAGCGGTAGCGCGCTCGCCTGGCATGCGTGCGGCCCGGGTTCGATCCTCAGCACCACATACCAACAAAGATGTTGTGTCCGCCGAGAACTAAAAAATAAATATTAAAAAATTCTCTCTCTCTCTCTCCTCTCTCACTCTCTCTTTAAAAAAATAAATAAATAAATAAATAAATAAAAATTTAAAAAAAGGTCCTATGAGAGTTGTCTCTTCCAAAGTTTCCTTTCTACTTCTTCCTTCCCATGACATTTTCTAGGTATAAAGGGCCTGGTTCTCCACCCTGGGGGAAAGTGTCACAGGGAAAGGGGTATGGGGAGGTCCCCAAAAGGAAGAAGGAGATCTCAACTTGGTCCTAGCAGGTTCTTATGCCTCAGAAAGGAATTTCTGGACACATCAAAAGAGAAACAAAGATTTATTTAAGAAAGTAAAAAGATTTGTTTAGAAAAGCTATAGAGCAGGATATATACTCAAAGGGAGGAATGTGGGCACTCAAGGGTGAGGTGCTATTTTGGGTCTTGGGCTCTTTTTTTTTTCCCCCCATAGTTTTTTTATTGGCTGGGGCTGAGGATGTGACTCAAGCGGTAGCCGGCTCTCCTGGCATGTGTGCGGCCCTGGTTTGATCCTCAGCACCACATACAAACAAAGATGTTGTGTCCACCGAAAACTAAAATAAATAAATAAATAAATATTAAAATTCTCTCTCTCTCTCTTAAAAAAAAAAAAAAAATATTGGCCGGGTATGGTGGGGCATGCCTATAACCCTATCTGCTCTGGAAGCTGAGGCAAGAAGATCCCAAGTTCAAAGCCAACCTCAGCAATTTAGTGAGGCCCTGAGCAATTTAGTGAGATCCTGTCTTAAAATAAAATAAAATACATAAAAGGGATGGGGATGTTGCCCAGTGGTTAAACACCCCTGGGTTTAATCCCAGCTGCAAAAAAAAAAAAAAATAGTACATGATAGTTATATATAATATTGGAGTTTGTTTCAACATAATTATATATGCATAGAAACTCTGTAAACAGTAAACATGAGAAGCATGTGTGTAGGGGGGATGATGTCAAACTGATGAGTTCAGTTTTCTTAATTGTAGAGTACAGGGCAGGTCATGGTGGTCTGGTTCTTTCAGGATTTCGAGATTGATGTCATTCAGTCAATAGATAATATTTGGAATATATCCCTATCCTAAGTTTCTAACAAATTTTCCATTGGTTTATTTAATCTAAAGATAATATATTATGTAAACTAGCAATGTATGAAGCCATTTCTTTATTTTTTTAAAGCTTATCTTTGACAACATTCTTTTTTTTTTAAGAGAGAGAGAGAGAGAGAGAGAGAGAGAGAGAGAGAGAAGAGAGAGAGAGAATTTTAATATTTATTTTTCAGTTTTTGGCGGACACAACATCATTGTTTTTATGTGGTGCTGAGGATCGAACCTGGGCCACACGCATGTCAGGTGAGCGTGCTACTGCTTGAGCCACATCCCCAGCCCAGATGCCATTTCTTATCTGGACTCACAATTCAACCTAAGATTCAAAGTTTATTTATTTATTTATTTAACAAATTCAGGCCTAGAAGTAAAAAGGCTTGGGGAGTAAAGGTAAGGGTGTTTGTGGAGCTTCTCATAATTAAATTACAGAGTTCCTCCCTTCCTTTCTACTTATCCTTATTATTTTTTATTTCTTTTTTTTTCTACTGGGGACTAAACCCTAACCCTAACCCTAACCCA